CCACATTGTTGCGGTTCAAAGCAGAGACTTTGACTAGTGCACCTAGAGGGCTTTTGATAATACGGGCGCACCATTAAATTACTATCGTTTCATAAACTATATATATATATATATATATAAACAAATTAAAAGTTGTCGGATATATGTGCACCCTCACTGAATAAGGTGGATTCGTCTCTGCAACTCACTCATATGTCAGCCTTATAAATGTGAGTCAGAATTCATGAGTTTAGACAAATATTAATAAGATGGGGCAAATCTCAGAGTTGAATTTAGGCAAATCCCATGTAATGGTGCAAACCTAAATGAGGGCGTTGAGTGCATATATGGAGTATATGTGACACTCTAGCTTAAGATAAGAAGTCCCACATCAGCAAAACACATGAAAAATATTGGGTATAGAAGTAATTTCTTACCAACTTGTGACACATTTTAAAGTTGTGTGAATCTAAGTCCAAAGCGAACAATATCACTAGCGGACTGACTGGCCAGTACAAAAAGCTCAAAAAAAAATACTCAACCTAGATTGATACATTTGAAGGGTTAGAAAAATGGTTTTGTAAATTAAAATTACACTAAAGTCCAATATCTTTAATAGTTCACTCTTAAAGTGAATTGCAAACTTGATCTTCAATTTTAGTCTCTAAACTTAAAGACAAAGAGTTGTCTCTTAACTACCCTCCAAACCATCAAATTACCATGTGAATATATCAAACAAAACAATACATGAAGGATCAAATTGTATTTATGGTCACTCAAGAGGGACCCAAATTGCTATTTATTACTTTCTTATAATATATGTCCAAATCTCAAGTGGATCCTCAATGGTTCCACCATGTGACACACTTAACCAAAAAATAATTAAATTAGAATCCCATTAACTTATGAATCTCAGTAATTTTGCTATAAACAGAATAAGATTTTTTTAAAAATCAATTCTAGTGCATTTTCATAACATCAAAACTTTACCTTAAATAGTATATTAGGTAATCCATAATAAATTTGAATCATTCTAATTGATCTTGACACATGATTAAAATAGAAATCAAATTTTTCATTAGAAATAAAAAAAGAAAAAAAGTGGACCATGTTTTAGAAAAAAATCTTATTATAGTTTCTTAAGAGTTAATTTTTGTGAAAGGGCAAGAGATTCCCATACCCTAAAAACATACAACATGCCCCTTTTTTTCCCCTTTGAGACTTTGATTGCAACATTACAAGGGTGTCTATTTACTTTTTTAAAAAAAATTTCTATGAAAATGACATGTATTTTATAAAGTAATTCTTTCCCCTCATATTTTTGGGTCCACCTAAAGAGTTGTTCTTGTGAAATTATCCTTTGCATAGAAATGCTAAAGACCTTATTATTATTATTTTTATTATTATATCTTTAGATCTCTTTACACATAAAAATGAAATTAGTGTTTTGGAAATTTCAAAATTTTGTTTGAAGTTGTATTTCCAATTTGGAAATAACTTATAACATGTTTGTTTGCATGCAACAAATTTAAAAGTGGTAAAAAATACACTGGAATCACAAATAAATATGAAGAAAGAAGAATATTTTACTGATAGTGCGGGTACAATTTTGTTTCTCTCATTGATTCTTCTCTATGATTTTTTCGTGAATCAACGACTGTTAGTGACGTATATATTTCTCGAACATAGGAGGCTATATCTTGATGTCTTTGTGAATATTCCATGAATTTACGAAATATTTGAGATGTCTTTTCAAGGGATATTACTTTGCTATAAGCATGAACTAGGGTTTATGATAGAATAGCCTCCAAGAATCCTAACAAAAATCGAATGTACATTGTAGAGATGAACACCTATCGCGGAGGCGCATAAATTTTCAAATGTCTACAATATTTTCAACTTTCTTTTAACTTTTGAAGATATATTGAAAGCATGAACGTTATTCTACGTAATCTTTACGATAAGTATGACGAAATACAACTCTATGATCAACTCCAATTCAAACTCCATAAATTTGGTTCTATTTCTTTTACACAACATTAGTGTTGGGGTCCTATGGGGGTTATCTTGATGTGAAATATAATAGTATTTGTATCATAAAATTTATGAACACAAACAGCTAGTCATTTCCACAAAAAGGGTTAGCCACAAATATATATACTTTATTTAAACAAAAATAAAATAAAATATAAATTGTCAAAACCAAGAAACCCCATCCTTGCAAAAGATGGAAGAACACGACACATTGTCCTTAAATAATTTGTCTACCCAAATTGAATCTATTAAACTCTGTTGATAGCTACCTTATTATTATTATTTTTCTTTCAAGAACCCCACAACAAAAATGCAATAACATGAGGTATGAGAGGAATAGGAACAATCGGGGCTGTGATAAGACGGATAAGATTTTTTTTATTTTTATTTAGATATTTCGAGTTTAAGGTTTTATTGACAGTGAACTTAGGAGCAAAGTTAGGTGGAGTTTTGTGGGTTCGGACGAACTCAATAACTTTTTCGCAAAAATTGTATTTGTGTTAGAAACTTGTAAAAATATATATGTATATTAACTTGTTAATTCTTAATAAAATTGGTTGACAGCTAAGTGATAAGGAAGAGTGGTGTTATAGGTTTAAACTGATCCACTATCAACAAAAAAAATTTTCCTTTTTAAAGGAAGCATGTTTTGTAATTTTTTCTCTTTCATCCTAAATTTTAGACCACCCAAATTTCTAATTTTAATTCCAAATCTGAACTGAACCCTGTCGCTCTTCTTTCTTTCCTCGCGAGTCTCTGAATGAACTCTTCCTCTTATTGAGCCTTATATGGAGCAAATTTGAATAGTCGAAACTTTAATGTAAGAAATTTAGCTAAAAAACTTTTTTCCTTTGTTAAGCCTTACATGAAGTTGAACTAGTCAAGACTTCATCGTAAAAAATCTTATTAGAGAACATTTTTTTTCTTTAATAAACCTCATATGAAGTGAATTCGAATCAGTAAAAAATGCTTGACGTGAATATCAAAAACTGAATCACCAATTAGAAAAACATGAGCAGTATGAACCATCAAGGGTCATGGTAGGACATATCACATATAAGATCCCTTCATTTCTCATCAAGAGGTTTTGAGTTTTGAATATGAAAAAAATTAATAGAGAATCAAATTGATCGATATCTCAATGTAAAATATCCTAATACGCAACTTGATATACCTAATGCTGAGCAAATCTAAAATTCATCGACACTTCAATATAAAAAAAATCAAGTAAGCAAAGAAGCGATTTCTCTTTAACGAGTCTTATATGGAGCAATAACATATCTGATATAATCTAACAAAATATAATCTGAAAAGAAGATAATCTACACAACTGTTATTATTACGGAAAGATCATTTTCAACAAACCTTAATTCAAAAATGAAATAATTTCGAATCTTAATATAAATATCGAACGAAAGATTAGGAAAATTGAGGGAAAATCCCATTAAATTAGTTCCCTATGGTGGTCCCAAAATTACAAGCAAAGATGAGCCATTTTGTATAGACAGTTGTGAGGGTGGGGTTTTTTTGCATTTTGTAGAGAGGTTTGTGGGGCTCTTTTTGTGCAATTTCGAGGTGACACGACATGATATTTCATTCTCCCCATAGCTAATAATAAAGTCATTACTTTTTTCTTAAATAATATTTGCGTTCGATTCAATTTATGTGTATCTGAAATAATATTTTGAATCATATGTTATAAAGTCCTAAAATTAGTTATCAAATGCCATGTACTTTGAAAGTAAAAAACTACTTGTTTCAAATTTTACAATATAACATGAATAAAAGTTCATTCAAGTTTTCAACTTTTTTCAAATACTATTTCTCCTCTTTAAATATTATATTTTTTTTTATATCGAGACATTTTATCGATTCAAGTTAGTAAGGATTATACGATTTATGGAATATAGTAATAATAATAATTTATCTATCTGTATTTTAATTATTATTTTTTAATTCTAAAATTAATAATTTAGAATTAATTAAATTATAATCATGGTATTATTTTCTTTCACTTTCTAGATAACAATTATGCAATTATAAAATTTTAGAATAAAATACCAATTACCAAATCCCCACTCCACCCCCACCCTCTAAACCCATGCTTTTTTCTCCCCAAGTACTCCAAAAAAGTCTAAGACTAAAAATTGAAATCTCCCTACTTATCCAAGTATAAATGCAAACACATGTTATATGTACCCTATCTATATATCTATTTTTTTTAATCTAATAGATTCAAAATCTATGATAAAGTAAACAATGGTTGATACAGTGAATCTATCATTAGGAAAAATGAATAATATATTTTCAAATTATCGTAAATGGTATGCAGATACCCTTCGTCATACTTTTGGGACATTGGTGTCCCTATTGTCCAAAAAAACTAGAGTATATATGCCCTTTATACTAACGGACATACATGTGTCATAATCTTATCCACTGATCCGAACTTCGGATTGATGAATAAAATTGCTCCACGTGTTCCTATTTCGTCTTTCTTTTGGAATGCAGTGCATATACACTTTAGTTTTTGGATGATAGGGACACCAATGTTCCAAAAATATGACGGAGGGTATCTACATATCATATACGGTAGTTCAGGGGTGTGTATTTGTCCTTTTTCCCTTTACCATTTTGCCGTATTAAATTGTAAAATAGTTGAATAAAAAATTTAAGATTTTTTAAAGTTTTACATTTTTCAAAATAATTAACGAGGGTACAATATGTAATTTTTTTTTATCCTTTCTTGATTTGTTAAAATGAATCAGTAATTAGGACAACTAAGAAAAAATAAGTAGACAAGTAATTAAGTATCTAATTTAGATTTGATACACAATTTTAAAAAATATATATATTTTAATTTCGTAATCTTAAACATGTCAAAATTTCGTGTATTATTGCAACCGAAACCCAAACAAAAAAAAAAGGAAAATACAAAAACAAGCATCTCTCCCCCCCTTTTCTCCCCCAAAAAAAGTTAAGAAAACTTGAAGGGGGTGGGGGTGGGGTGGGAGTTGGAGAAGTTGAGAGAAGCCTAAACAAATACCTAAAGCTAAGAGAGAGCTAATTCTTGATTTTCACTTCATACCCCCCCTCCAAAACACTCATGTAGAGAAAAAAAGAATTGCTTTTTTCTCTTTGAAGTTTCAATCTTTCTTGATATTTCTGTCACTCTGTCTAACCAATCTTGCATTTTGCTTAAAGTAGAGTGTTCAAGTTGATATTTTTATTTGTGGGTAAGAGGAAAGAAGATGCCTAGACCAGGACCCAGACCTTATGAGTGTGTTAGAAGAGCTTGGCATAGTGATAGGCACCAACCCATGAGAGGTTCTATCACACAACAAATTTTCAGGTACTTTTTGGGGGCAAATTGTATACTTTGTGTTTTATTGAATTTTGTTATCTGTAAAGTGCTCACCATCTGTTTGATCAGGGTTGTAATAGAAAGGCATAGTGTTGTTACAAAAAAGAACAGAGAATGGCAACAGAAGCTTCCTGTTGTTGTCTTGAAAGCTGAGGAAATTATGTACTCCAAAGCTAATTCTGAGGTATTTTGCTTTTTTTCTTTAACTTGGGGTATGTTGAATTTGGATTATATGGAAGAAAATAATTTCAAGATTTTTTTTTTGGGTCCCTTTTGTATATTAGGCTGAATATATGGATCCTGAAACACTTTGGGATAGGGTAAATGATGCCATTGATACCATCATTAGGAGAGATGAGACAACAGAGATTGGACAACTCTTGCCTCCTTGTGTTGAAGGTACTTAAGTTTAAAACTTTCTTTTACTTGCTGCTCATTTGTACTGCTCCATTTGTTTTAGTTCAATTACTCAGCAAGAGCTATGTCATGTTGCAAATATATTTCAAACTGATTATGTCTTGTTTAACATGAAACTTTGGTCCTCAGCTGCTCTTAATCTGGGATGTATACCGGAGAGAGCGTCTAGGAGCCAGCGGAACAGCAATCCAAGGAGTTACCTCAGCCCAAGAACTCAGGAACCTCATTGTGTACCTCCTAAAGTTTTTAGTAGAAGTGCCAATGAGCTGAACTCTAACTCATCGTTACCTATTCGCTCTACAAACCAACCACTGTTCTTGAGACCTACAAATGTCAATACATCCAGATTAGCTTCAGAATTTGACAGGCCTGTAATGCCTAGGATCAACAATCTAGGTGCTTCCCCAAGTGCAAAAGCCATTGTTATTCCGGAAAGTAGTAGTTCATTGGATGTGGGTTCAGTATATCCCCTGTTCTATGGTACTGATCTTCAGCCTGAAGTTTCTCCGCTGGTCCTCCGAGAACCTCAGCATAATGTAATTGTTGGTAAACCTATATATCCATCCATTGTTGAGCCTGCTAAAATCAGCTGCTTCCCAAGCTTGTTTCCTAGCAGGAGAGATGATGTTCAAGAAAAATCTTGTCAAGCAGATTTTAGGGACAAGACAAGAAGGATGCCTGAATTGGATTGTGATTTGTCCTTAAGGTTAGGACTCTCTGCAAACTCTGGCTTGCAGTTGCAACAGGGTCAAATTAGTTGCATTGGTGATTTTAGGCCAAGTGGCAATTCGAATGAAGGGGACCAGTTCAAGCTTTTGTCAACCAGTAAAGGGAAAGAGTTTACTTTCTTTCCTGCAGAGTCTGCCAATAGTCCATCAGGGTTGCCATCACGGTTGCACAGAGCTCATGGAAATTTGGAGGGTTATGGTCTCAATACGGAAACACTATTTATGAAGCATAAGATGCCCGTTAGGCCAAGTGATGGTTTTCAGGAAAGATATGGCTTCGAGGCTGTGTCTACCAGCAAAGACAAGGAGTACCCTTTCTTTTTTGCGGAGTCTGCCAACAGTCACTCCGGGTTGCAAGCAGGTCGGGCGAATTTAGAGGGTGAAGACCAGACTGCAGCAACACTACTTAGGAAACGTAAGATGCCAATCCATAACAATATGGAACTTGGACAATTTTTGTGGCAAGATGAGCGAACTTTGAACCGTTTTCCTGGTCAAATGAAAAGGCCAGGTTTGTAGTTTGTAGACAGGTCCATTTTGTTGTATGATAAAATTTTGAGAAAAGAGAAGTTTAGGATGCCTCCTTTGCATTTTATCTTCCACTTATTGCTTAAATATGATCCTTTTCATTGTTGAAATAGCACATAAAAATGTGTAAAAGAGGAATTTAAAACTAACAAAAAGTCCAGCAATTAGCTGGGATGAATGGGTTTCATTATACAATATTCTCAAATGTGGTATATTGGTACACTAACTGCCCTATAAGCTTCAAGCATTTGCTCAGTTGGTTGAGTATGTAAATGAAGTTAGGTGATATAATGAAACAGTATATGCTAGGACCTTGGATTGGCTGGTCTATGGTTAGGCATAAACACTGAGGGTTTGTTTATCCACCATTATATTGACTTGGCCATCATGCTTTGAACTTATTTGCCACTGTTACTGTCGTGCAAATTTTACTAATTTATTCTCTTTATGTCAAAATTTCTTTTTTACGAAAGTATCATAGTGAGTGAAGCGGAATGGGCTTGGATCCGAAATTGTCAAAACAGTAGGTTGGTGGATGATGATGTGCATCGGAAACCATCTTCGTGGGAAAAGAAAAAAGTGCCAAAGTCCCTCCTGCCATTTCCTTAACATGAATGCTCGTTGAAGTAGTTTGCGAACCTGCTGCGTTTTCATTAAGTCTGCTCATATTGAAGCAGCTGTCACAATTTCCTTTTGAATTGCTTCTTTGTTCCCTGGAAATTGCAAGTGTTAACTAACATGGCATGTTAATTATGACTATGAGGAGTAGCATGTTTTATTCTAGAGAGGCTGCTTTATACTATCTCCATATTAGTGATATGTATCTGTGAACGTGTGCGCTTGAATGTGCACTTAATTTTGGCCTCACGTTTGTTGATCAATTTCATTCCCTGGTCTGTTCCACATACAGACCAGACATTATCTTTTGTCTAAGGTATTGCCTATATGTTCTAAGAATCGATCTTTTGTGCTTCATTTTGCCTTGAATTCGCATTGCACCTGTGGAAAGAGATCTGGACCGCATTGCCAATATTTTGCCTGCACTTGATATATATTCAGTGCTAGGGAGCGCTTGATGCCAGGCAAGTTTTTCATTTCATCAATTAATCAATTTTAGTCATTACAAAAATGGAATCATATCCATCTCGTATTACATGATTTCCAACTACACTTCAAGTTATATTGACAGTAATATAATGCAGATGTGTTTTCTTTTGACAAACTGGTAATGCAATTTCTGATTCTTAAGTCTAATTGGAATTGGCTGATTGCCACAGTTGAAAGGTGATATTAATGTTAGTTTTATATGATCTGTTAAAGTTTAGTTCGACTCAGATTGTTATTGAACATCTTTGACTAGCCTTGAATGTTTTCCCCTAAAACCTGTTCACAGGCTTGGAGTAACTTTACTGTGAAAAATATACAAAATTTGTGAAGAGCATAAGCTTGACTAGTAAGAGAGTCGGGGAAACATTTCTTTTAAGCAGCTGTCTTTGCCAAGTAATTATAAAACATATCATGTTGTGTGTTGTCTAAATTGCGCCACTATGAACACACCATAGGTTATGAACTGCGTACTAATTTTTGGATATCTCGTTCCTTATTTATCAAACTTCAGATCCAAAATGTTATGCAGTTTGAAGAATTCGGCTTCTGTAGGTTCCATCATTTGTTGATCATGATTAGATGCCTTATAAGCATCTTCTTCGATGAACTAAGCTGATGATGATTTGTAAATTTTTTATATGAAGCTAGATGAATGTCCTGTCTCATTTCAAGTCAAAAGGTCCTATTATAAGTTGTGTTTGCTTGGACTCTTCAAAAATGTTATTGCACTTGTTGCTTTTGGAGGTTCCGACACATATCCATCAACATTTTTTTAGGAGTCTGTGCAACATAGATAATAAGTGCATATCTTGTGAATTGTGACAATTACCATCAATGATGTTGCTGCTTGTTTTCGCAAGCATTTTTGTTGAACAGGAAAACTAAATTTTTGGTAGCTATTTCCTTGGATATGCACTGCTTACAGAAAAGGCCTCTGCTGCTGTATATGATAAAGGTGGAAACTTTGTTCCATAGGAACTGCCAAATACATCCAAAGATGTTGGTTTGTCTTGAAGAGCCTTGGTGCTGATCAAAGTTTTAGCCTCTTTGATTTCTGTGAAGAAAGAAGGTAAAAATGTTTCTCAAATTGTATTTTACTGTTAGAAAAATGGAAAGAAAAGGTAAGTCATTTCTCAAATTTCCTGTCCAAGCATTTAGTCTACAAAGTTATCCAGTACTTGAGTTAGTGGCAGGTAGTAGTAGTAAGTAACTCTTGGAATTAGTCGAGGTGTGCATAACTGACCTAAATCCTTCGATTATGAAGAAGAAGTTCCGAAGTAGAAACTTGATAGTAAATTCTTGCGTAGTCTTACGCCTCTAGGGCTTTAGTCAAGTTGTAAGAGTGATGCTCGATGGTTATTATCACATTACGAGTTTAAGTGAAGAATAGTAGTCACTAGCCCTCAAGGATTTCTTATATAGAACTTTGAACATGTCTCACCTCATGAACTAGTTTTCGGGGTATGAGTTACGCTAACGTCTATTTAATGTAATGTGAAGTTTTAGGGATATGGTAATACTGAAGCTGCTTCCAAACAAAATCAAATTGCTATACACTTTTAGGCATCTTGATTAAATCATCTTCTAATCAATGATTAGTTGCCTTTTAAAATGGCTTTATTAGATCATATATCTTAATAACTCATAATGATATACAAAGTCTATCATTTAAAGCTACCTGAATGTAATGTCTCTTTCAAGTCCTAAATTGTGATGATTGTCAAATATTTAATGCTATGTCTATATTCCTAAATGTCCTTTTTGCTGAACAGAGAAATTGAAGCTTTTTGATGAGAGCCAAAAAAAAAAAAAGAGGCTTCTGTTGCTGAAATATGAAAAAAGTAGTTAAGTTTGTACATCAAAACTGCCAAATAAATCAAAGAATTTTTGCCTTTTTGGTGAAAAGAAGTGGTAAGTTTGACCATTTGGTTAAATAATTAGCTTCTTGATTACCTTAAATGTATGTACTTTTAACTTTCTTTGGACAAACAAGACATAAAGTTTTTTTCACTTTTTGTAGATATATATAGTAATTCACCCCCTTGTTGGATTGCACCTTTTTTTGGTTTTGGATTACATTATTGAAGTTGAGATTTGGCTAATATTCAGATCGAGTCTGTTTGGATTGACTTAGTTTAAGTGTTTTTCTTTTGGTGTAATCGTGAAAATTTGAGTGTTTTGTGTAAATTAAAAAAGTGATTATAAGCCGTTGGTTTACAAGATTTTTAACTTATAACTCAAAAGCTAAGAGCTAATCCAAATGGGGTAAGTAGAAACTTAGGAAAACATGAGAGGAATTTTTGAAGCATATGTTAAAAAATATTTTTTAGACTCGAAATTTTATTTGGACATGTATTTTACTTTTTTTTAAAATTTTTTGAATGTTTGTGAGTGCAAGTGAAATTTCATCCAAGGTTTGTGCCAAGCTACTTTTTTCAAAATCTTATCAAATTTCATGATAAAAAAATTAATCATTTTTTTTTAGAAAAAAAAATCCATGCCCAAATGGAAGGTATAGTGTGTGTTTGTTATAAAAGGGTAAAATGGTAAAAAAAAGAAGAAGGTAAAATAACAAAAAAAATTCAAGAAGTAAAATAGGTTTTTTTTTTAAAAAAATACCTAATTATTTTCTTAAAGGTTGTATAAAAGAGAATCACAATAAATAATTATGTAAGGCTGTTTAATTGAACACGAAGTTTAACTTAAAAAAAGACATTTTAAAACTTTATGATTTAAAATAAACTAATTAAAAATCTTTAGTTAAAATTATCCCATCAAAGATAAAATTAGTATATTAAAATCAATTTTTTACTACTAATTATTGAAATATATAATTTTTTTAAAAAAATATTATTTTAAAAAAGGATTACCTAAATTTGGAGAGACATATAGTTTGTAAATGGAACTCCCAATTTACTTCTAAATAATTAGATCATTATCTCCCATAATGCATTAATTAGCCTATGGAATAATGAAGTTTTTCATTCATCACAAATTGTTGCAATTTAAAGATTTAACATGTTAATCACGTTTTCAAAGCTTTAAATTAATGATAAAAACGTGTACATAATGTATATTTAGGTAATTAGGCTCATGTCGCTTGTTCAAAGTTTGCAATAATAATAATAATAAAAAAATTCATGTGTATGTGCTCCCAAGAAATACAAAACAATAAAAATATTGTTATTTTATCATTAAATAATAATTAAAAAAAAGTTACACTAAAAAAAGTAAAAAAAAGTAAGTTGTTTTTAATAAACGTTTGATTTAAGATCATGAAATAACGTAAGTGTTGAGTTTCTTTATAGGTTAAGTTTTAAAGATAAGGTGTAATGTAATTTGAAAAATGGAGACGAATAAGTTGGAGGTAAAATAAAGTTTAATAGTGAAGAGAATATTTTTCGTGCTTTCAAATAAAAACATTTCTTCTAACTTTTAAATTGAAGAGAAACTCCCTCGTGCCATCGTCATCGTCGCTCGCTCGATTTCAGCTTTCACAAAAAAAATGTTATTCAGTATTGCAAAATAATTAATGTTCCATTTTATCCTAAAAGAAATTAATCCAAACCTTGAACAAGTGTGTGTGAGATTAAATTCTTTAAATAAACACAAATTTTTGTGGGATTTTTTGCTTATTTTTTGTTTTTTATTTACTTTTTATTCAATTCTTTAAATAAACACAAAATATATCTGTTTTTTCAGCTTTTGCTATCACTGAAAAACACTTTTTTTTTAATCAAATACCTCAATTATCTAAAATAAGTAGTTTGTTTAAGAAAATAAACATGTTTTGCCTTTCTAAAAAATTGATCAAATAGAATATAAATATTTGATTGTTTGATATAATAAACCAAAACATTTAAAATTACATGTCTAATCAAGTATATTAAATGAGATATATAGCAAAGTGGAAAGTAGGAAATTCCTAATCCTTAGGATTATTGAAATTAGATGCTAATTAACACTAATTACTCATATTGAAAAGTTGATTATTGATTGACATTAATTTAATTATTAGGTATGGCCAATATCTATTTACTAATTAAGGAATAGCGTGAGCTCTAGTTAGCTAGGAAATGGCACCCTATGTGTAGATAGAGCAAAATAAAATACTTTTCTCTTATTAATATGTTATTTTCGTTAGGGGTGTATAAAATCGAATCGAAAATTAAATCAAATCGAAAAAAAGCCTAACTAGTGGTTTGGTTTGACTTGGTTTGGTATTGGAAAAAAACCCTGACTATATTTGGGTTGGTTTGGTTTCAACTATAAAAAAACCAACCCGAGACCAAACCAACCGACATTATGTATATAATTTTAAAATTTCATTTTATAAGTAAAAATACTTACTTTGATATAATTTTTAAATATCTCTTATACTTTTTTTTTATAGTTTTTATCTTTTAATATAATTATTTCATGTTTGGAAAATAGAATTCTTAATAATCTAATAAGATTATAGTTATACATGTTGGTAATTACAATAAAGTTTAAATAAAAATCAAATTAATACTAATGCAAAAGAAAATCAATTCAACACTAAGAAAGACTCTATTGAATATTTGGTTTTTAATTTTACATGGATTAAGACAATTAAAATACACGATCTAATTTTACTTTCTTTTAATATTTAGTCATGTAACTAATACTTACTAAACTTATTTTAACATGATTTA